AAAAAAATGAACTTGATTTCTCACTTGAATTTTAATCATTCAGTATTTTTTTAATGAAATGGCACATGAGTAACATAATAAATCAATACAGTGTTTTAAGTAATAGAAAAAAAAATCTAAAAAATCCACACTACAGATCTTAGTATTGTTCAAAGAAAATCTAATATATCACAAAGGTTTAAAAAAAAACAAAAAACCTCTACTTTTCTATTTTGGAATTCATTACAATTCTCCTTAAGTTATATATTTAAAATTTATTTTTCCCCACCACCAACTGTAGTTGAATTTTACTCTATCAAAAACATTTAAAACAAAATAAGCTATTTCAAATAATGTAAGATTAATTTCTTGGATCAGAATTCTCATTTTATGATTCAATGTACAAGGTAAGAAAAATATATCAATTAGTAACTGAAAAAAATTTCTTTCACTTGAATAGCTTACAAGTTATTTTCCTTATTTAAGCCAATAATTTTAGCTGACTGCAGGTATACCTGGTCTGAATTCATCAAAAATTAATATATATCACTTCTTTTTTTAATAGCAGGAAGAAAAATTTTTATATATTTGATCATCCTTGTAGAAAGCAGGGCAAAATCTAAATAATGGAGTTGGAAGTTAAGTATTTCATTAAAAAATAATAATTAAAAAATGCTAATTATATTCAATAATATGTTAATTTATCTGGAGAAGATAATTATCATTACAAACTTACACTAAAAGTGAAATTAAAGAATTGACTGACTGAAATAAAAAAGGAATTCTAGGAAGAAATATCTTGAAGAGCATACTGGAGTATAATATGTATAAATGCAAAAAATACATTTCTAAAACATATTAGAAACTTTAAAACTACATGATTTTTAAATATATTTCTGAATTAAAAATACTACTTTTGCGATCAATACAAATATATAAAGTTATAGCAATCAAATAAATTCCAATTAATTATCAGTATCATTTGTAGACTATGTGGGAACATCCTAGCAATATATTTTTAAAACTACATACAATTAAAAATGTACTGGTTTATTTCTGTAAAGAGTTTATATTAATAACAAATTATTAACAGATAATGAAAATTACTCCTCACAACCAATGAGTAATCAGCTTGTTTCAGAAAATAAGAAAAGCATAGATTTCATTTCTGTGTGATGACACCCAGTCCTACTTTGGAAAAACAAGGCAGCTCCGCATTTGCTTGTTCTTGGTCTCTTCTTATAAAAGGAAATTTCTCAGTTCTTCTGAAAGATAGCTGTTTACCTCACTAGACTGATTAATCAATTAATTAAAACAAACAAAACATTCTAGGTAGTCTTCTGATGCTATAAGAAAAATACAGCTTGCCAAAGAGTCTTGATATTCTTTACTTTATCAGCTAAGCAAATTTTCTCTTCCAGTTCCAAACACACTTATATCAACTTGTTAGGTGTCACTATTGCAGCATCCTTCAGACTTCAGGTGCTTCTTGGTCAAAGATAATTACATTTTCTGCTGGGAGGAGTACTTCATACACCATTATCTCATAACCTTAAAATAAATAAGCAATTCATGGTGGTGAAGGGAAAATTAAGTAAAAGCAGGAACACAGCTATTAAGAATGACAGAAGAGAAAAAAAACCAAAACCACCAAACAAAAACCTACAAAGAAACTCACTTCTATCTTGAAACCAATACAAAAAACTGAATAACTCTTTCCCCAGAGACAAACTGCAATAGGATAATGAATGCAATTGGAGCATTTTATTTTCCAGACAAATACTCCCTTTTCTAAGATGTGCTACACATCTTGAATAGATGTGTCTATTCAAGTCTAGACTGAACTTCAAATCTATGTCTTAGGTAAATAACTTCATTCAACACGTGGAAAGCACACCCTGAATTATACTACAAATGATACACAGCTGGCAATAGGATTAGTAACAGCTGCAACCAAACTTGTATAGATCATGATTTATTTTATCTTCCAGATGAATCATACTTATAGTCTAACCAGCTGCAACAGTTATATTCTTTATTTTGTACTAAACACCACCTAAATCTAAGTTTCTCAAGTTCTTAGTAAAGAGTGTGTGCTCCTGTATGATTGGTTGAAATTTATCAGCATAAAATACAATAATAATTAAGTGAATGAAGCCAGGGTATTAACATCAATAGCTTGCATTCTACATTCTGTAGTCTCATGAAGAAAATATTGATGACTATATTTAGTGAATGATTGGAATTCAAGTAACATCATGGCCTTTGAAAAAGACAAGCAAAACATTCCCATCAATACCACTGATTCATCTGATAAATGGAAGGCTGAGTCAGAGCAGTACTAATGGGTTGCTTTCCTCGGCTCATTACTTGATAAAAAGGTAGTGTGCTGGGAAAGATACTTTTTTATAAAACACATTCTTCACTAGAAAATAAAATTTAAAAAAACCCCAAAGAAACAAAACCCAAAATCTTGTGAAGAAATTAAATTAAATAGCATCAAATTCTCTCTTTTTCCTTGATGTTGCTTTGCTCAGTTCTGATCACTTTTAAATTTAGTCACATATCACTGAAGAATGTTTTTTGAGAATCAGTAATTGATACTTATTCTTGCATTTTATTCCCAATTTTGAGACAAGGGGGAAAAACCCCAAATGCCAAGTTTTGGTAAGTATTGCTATTCTTATCTTCCAATTAACAGGTTTCACTGGAATTTTCAGCTTTTCAGCTGTTTGACTAAACATAGAACTAGCTTGTACACATAGATGATTATTGTTACTCTAAAGCTCCTCAGACACAAGATTTAGATGTGCAAAAATTCTTCATGTAGTCTTATGCAACAAATACTGGCAATTGCACAGTTAAATCAATAGATGATTTTAATTTTTACTAATTTGTCCTCTTAGGAAACTAAGAAATAAACAAACATTTGCATGTAGTTTACTGAAATATTTTATACTTTTTTTAACAACAATATAATCTAAAACCAGTATTTTGAACTATGACTTCAGGTTTTTAATACCTATTTTCTAACTGAAGCTTAGTTTAACATGGCCTCTACTTACCTAAGAAAATTTTTATCCCTCCAGCTAAAATCTCAAGGTTTGAAGAAACAATATGTGCTTGACACTGTTACATGGTCCCAAATTTGTATCTTTAGTGTCATTAATTTTTTTCTAGTTATAAAAATTGTATAACATCACAAACACAACATTATAGAATGGTCTTTGTTAAATATAAACATTTCTTACATAAATTCAAAGATACTGGGAGTCTACATCTCTAGGCTAATTTGAAGACTAGTATATCCTTTCCTGTTTATCATAGATACTAACAGTTATTTTAATATATCTCTATAACCCCATCTATCAAGCAGAAAGCTAACACAGAATTCTCCCAGAAGCCAGGGCATCCTCAAAGCAAGAGACACTCCTGAACTGCACTTTTTGGTGCTCTCTATCGGGATGAAAGGGAGGGGTTTGTTGTAGCAGCTTGTTTTACTGTCATGGGACACTGGGACTTCAGAAGGCAGACTAAGAGCAGTGTGCTACTGTACCAGCATTGCTCTCTCCAAACCTTTCTCATCCGGGCCACCCACAAGAACTCAGCCTCAAATGCACCTCAATCTTGCATCCAAGCTGCCATTACAGTTAAGAGATCTACAAATTCTACAGCTCCAGGGACTCCAGGGCTGAAGGCTTTTGCCCTTGTGTCCCTGAATCTGTGCGTTTTGTGACTCTCTGAACCCCAACTTAGTGCATTTTAAATTACAGGTTAATTTACACGGCTGGTGAACAATCTTTGAAATAATCTGTACAATAATTTAAAACTCTAAAGAAAAGACAAAACTAAGGAAAATCTCTCATACAACACATTTTATGAACCTAAATTAATTCCCTGCCAAGTAAATTAGTAAAATATCTGTTTTACACATTCACAGATATTTGAAGACAATAAGAGTGTGAAAAAAATATTTCTGTAGCCAAAATAAACATGACATCTTCTCCCAGTTTTCAAGTGACTCTCACCTAAAGGTCTTTTTTTAAGTATTTTAGGGACCAAAATTTAAAAGCTGTTAAAAGTAACTTGTGAACCACAAGAGAATTAGAGTAGCTATCATTTGATTAGAAAAAAATCCTAAGAATTTTTTAGATATTAGTTCACACTTTAATTAATTCTGAATTTACCAGCTGTAGACTTTTTGAATATACCCTAAGCTATCTGTTCAGTCATTAGTTCCCATTTCTCTTTAAATAGATGTTTGCTTATTGCAGCTGCATTATTGTCTGAAGGCAGTAACACTGAAGTTCTTTTAAATCAACAGGTGGGACAAGCATTCCTGCTCCTACATTTTCACCTGTTGCATTACAAGAAGTAACCAACTACAAAGAGAAAGAGAGGAGCTACAGTTGAACTTTACAATGTTCATAGAACAAATTGGCATGGGTTTCAAAGGATCCTGATTTATTTTCTCAAAAGAAATGCCACTATTGAAAGAGAAGGAAAGACCTTGATCTTACTCAAAAACTCCACAAAACTGCCAAATGGAAACAAAAGGTTACACAACAGAGCCAAGAGCAAGACTGAATAAATGTGTAGGTCAGTTATGTAAACAGCAAAAAAATATTGTCTATCATGACTCTCCTTAACCAAATACAGACATTTTTGCAGTTCATATACAGTCAGATAAAGTAGTCTAGAAAATTCTGAGAAAAGAGCAAAAATCATTAAAATAGAACTTAAAGTTTCCACATCCTCCTATATGCAGAGTTTCAGACATAATTATTAAAATACTTCTGAATATTTAAGTTTATGTATAAGTAACACAGTGGTCTGACTGTAGAAAACAAATCCTTTGCTGAAATTATTAATCTTTTGTCAAGCTGATCCACATAATTTTGATACACAACAAACTGTCTCTTGAAATCTAGTCTTTTGAGATTCACATATGCATAGCTGTTCTAAAGACAACACAGAGCTATATATCAGCAGAGCATCAATACAATAATCACATTGCTTACCCTGATACATAAGCTGAAGTTCTGCAGAAATGAGCTGGATGAACAAAAGCAGAAAGACAGAAAATTAACCAGAAACCAGCTACTGTAGTAAAGGTCATTCTTTACTCATATGAATGTAAAAAACCCCACTGAATATCCAGAATTACTTCAAGACACATTTTAGTAATGATTTGGAAGAGAAGCAAAAATGTGTAATTTTCACTGTATATAAAGGAGTAACATATTATTCTACCTGAACATAACCTGACAGTACTCTCTCTGGTCAGTTTGCAATATCATTCTACTGTGCTCATGATCAGTTCTTATCTTACATGCAACTTTTTTTAGAAGAGATTTACTTTATTTTATTCAAAGATACTTTACCTTAAAGAAAGAACAAAGCATACTATTAAAAAAAAAAAAAAAGGTAAAAATAACCAGTGTCTCTATGCAAAACACTGTTGATGTTTCACCAGTGTTTTGTCTAGAATAACCTATGGTGTTGGTCAAGCTGTCCAATGCATTTGAACTCAAGAAAAAGCCTAGAAACGCTAGTAACATATTAATAGAATTGCAGGGACTTTTCATACAAGAAAATTAAAAGAACTTAACAAAATCAAGGCCGAGAGGGGAACAATTGCTCTCCAGCAATTTGTTAAGTGCTACAGATTTGGGACAGCAGAAAATTACTCAAACAAATTAAAGATAGTTAAAAGCAACTTTAAAAATAGATTTTAAAACTCCCAATCTCTCACAAACAGAATATTCCAGAATTTACATGGACAATTTCTTGCCAGCAGCCCTAGCCTTTAATGTTAGGTATGTCACCATTAAAGTACACTTCAAGTAATCCACTGGCTAGGTAAACCTACAAACAACATATTAGTGTTCTTGGTTAAACTGATATATTCCCATATCCACCTGAAGCCACATCTAGTTCCGTCTTGAGTACTGATTTCACAGTTCTCACTGTATTCTGCTCACCCATTGGCAACTTGCCCATGTCGGTACAATAGTGAAATACACTTTTCCTCAGCATCTCTTCTCTCTCTTCCCACTGGCCTTGGCATACAGGCTTTGCTGCGTGCTGCCTCCAGCTCTGCAGGCAAACACCTGCCCTGCCTTGCTGTGCATGAAGTGAACTGGGAAAACTGTGGAATCCGCCCCATGTGCTTCAGGCAAGGCCTTAAGCCTCTCCAAGGCTGCCCACAAAAGCCCTGGATATAGATCGGCAGAAAAGATAAAAGAGAGATGGGTGTTGCAATCACCTTCAAAAAGTGTCAAAAAGAAAAATCCTTGAAACCTGTGAGCTCATGAACCTCAATCTCATCCCTGGGAGAAATCACAAAGGTTGTCCTTTTGGTCTGCAGTCCTTCTTCAGCCCTGCAGAGTGAGCCTTGGGACACCACAGGGCAGGGTGAGGACAATGAGAAATCAGCAAAAGGGGTACATTCTTGCAAATTTTGTATGTATCTCATTTTAACAGAATATACTGAACCGCAAGTTTTAGCATTATCGTAACTCAATTAATAATAATAACAATATTCTTGTTAGATTAAAAATTAAACTATAGCATTCAACAACACTGTCTCCAATTGATGGAAATTGAAGCAAGTTAATCTGAAACTTGGATTGGTAACAATTTTATACATATGATTTTCATTTCCCACTCAATTGTCTTCTTACAGAGATAAAAAATAACTAAACTAAGTAATAACATGACCATACTGAAATGCTTTATCTATATTTGATAACTTCTCTTTTTGTCTTACATTACTTTCCTACATCAATGCTATTCTAATGAAGACCCTTTCCTTCTGATAAGGTAAGGACATAGTTGATTTGTTATAGCTTGAAATAAGCAATTAATTTAAATACTTCTAAAATGTTGATCATTACTATCTGTCTTATCATACAGTCACTCCTGCATATTTGTTCCTATGCTGCTCCAATCGCTTAGGGAATTAAGTATCTGGTTGTACTGGGAGGTGGAGAAAGTCAGGGTTCCATTTCAAAACTGGCTTTCATAGGGGAAGGATATCACTAATAAGACGAATGATAGAAGCTGAAGCAAAAGCTTGAAAATGGGATAGAGGCATTCAAACATTGTTGTACTCAGAAATCATCAGGGCAGTGTGCTGCCAAGGACCACTTCCTGACAGACGCAAAAAATTCTTTGTGAGGTGACTGCATTTTCAGGAACCTTGTGGAAGCAACACTTCATATTTTTCATAGTCACAATGAGTGAGAAATTTTCCGTCATGGAAAGAAATAAAATCCCACACAGACCAATTTCCAGTCATCGTCACAACAAAAAGAAAAAAAAAAAAAAAAGGAAAAAAACCAACCAAACCCCAAAAGCAGAAAACAAACACACACAAAGCAAACCAAAAACTTGGGAAGAAGTATGGTGTGGCCAAAGTTCAAATACTGTAAGGATGAACATATATATATACTACAAATATAGTCAACTTTAATTTCATCTGTTGTTATTATATTTTAAAAGTCAAGTATCAGAGTTCACTGAGTTTGAACTTTTTATCTGACATCTGGTATATCTTATTTTATTTACCTCATAACTCCATATAAGCAAAATATATATATTTATTTTTTTACATTCAGAAACAATAAGACAACTGTAAAAGAGACAATTTTTTCTCAATAAATGAAAGTATTTTTCACTGGGGGACATTCATGTATCTTCATACTAATTAAAAAACCCCAAACTAACTCAGCAATATCTAACAGCTAAAACACCAAACACATTGTTTCAAATGAAATTATGGAAACACTTATGAATATTTCAGGCAAATTTCAGTGTCAAGGGATAAAAGTTCACAAAATTTCACAGCCTGAAGACACGATTAACTTTTAGAAATAGCTCCTCTTTACTAAAACACGAGAGATTAATTCAGTGCTGCAAATCAAGGAACTTTAATGTGAGAACTGGGCTGTTCAAATTACCGGAAGGTACCCCTCTGAGATCACTAACAAAGTCAGTTGAAGCCAATGGATGTGTCATGTCAGTAGTTAACCCTTCACTAAGAGCAATTATTGAAAGACCCTGCTGACAATACAGATTTCAGCCCTCAGTCCCTATCTCTAGGGTGAGAAACCCAGATGTTAAGCAGGTGTTTATCTCAAATCCTTTAACACTACCTTCAGGATTAAAGAGGAAAAATATTTAAGTGACAGAAAACCATCACACCAAGCCAACACTGAACTTTAGGTTTGCAAGGCAGTATTAAAGGTTATCATCTTCAAATAGAATTTGTAATGGTTGCTCTCCATATGTACAGGGACATAATGAAGATTGTGCAACCTGCTTTTTTGGCAGTAAATGCTGCAGCCCCTTGAAATAATGATATGATGAGGAATTTGCCTATGAACTCAGAAAATCAGACTTTTTCATTGTGTAATAAGATTTGCTGGTTTCCTGTTATGGATTGAAAACAAAAAAACAAAACCTAAAAAAACCCAAAGTGAAAAGCAATAATATTTTCTTACATGTTCTACTCAATGAAACTCTATATGTCTAAACATTTTCAAAACTGGTACACCATAATGCTTCTTTTTCCATTTGAGATTGGCCTCTCATCAGAAACTTCAATAAATCTACTACTAAAGAAATGACCAGTGCCCCTGAAGAACTGTGACTCTTTCACATCTGTTGAGCAAGGAAGTTTATTTTATTATATGCATGTGTAAGTATGAGATTTAAAAGCAGTTTGGTTGCAATGGTGATTTTTCCCCCAGTCCCAATAGAAATGTACTTCTCATTTAAGTGTGGTATGATTTCTTTTCTTCAAGGATGTATTTTCTTCTGTCCTGAGAGATTCCTTTAATGGATTTAAATAATTGGGTTCTAAAGTTTAGATTTTGACTGTTCCTTGACTGTGTGTGTGAAATGTACAAAGATACATTGAGTGTATTCTAATTCAAAATTTTTTTTTTTCTACTTTTGAAGTATATATGAGATAAAGTGAGATCATATTGTTGATCAGAACAGATGGCAGTTAATTTTGCCTTTTTAATGTATTAATATTTTTATTATAGTTATAATTATAAAGTAAGAATGGCTCAGTAGCTCTTTCAAAGAGAGCAAATCAAATAGGCACAGAAGTTCACAATTTGTAGGAGAAAACAAAAAATAAACTTAGCAATAAAAATATGATAATTTTTTAAAAACCCATTTGCAGTAAATTTTCTCTACATACATTTAAAATAGGCACTTTAAAACCTATATGTTTGGTATAAAACAATTACTATTATAAGTAAATTCAGCTTTTAGAAAATAAGGGCAAACTTTATATACTTAGAGGGGTTGTTTTCAGTAAAATTCATTAAAAAACTTTCCAATATTTTTTTCTTCAACACATCATAGCTATTTTAGTTTTACTCCTTGTTCAAAACCCTCAGGAATATGTTTGAATGCCCTAATAGAGTTAGTTACAAAGGCATGTATGCAGTTTTGCAAATTAATCTTTAAAATAGCCTATCCTGCTTGAAGTGTCATCAGTAATAAGTACTTTCATAGCTAATGGTATTCCCATTATTCTCTATTTATGGTTCAATTGAAATATTCATCTTTAGATTGTTTTCTGTACTGGAAAACAATAGTGCTTGTTACATTTTCTGTGCTCCAGAGAAGAGCCATTCTGTGATATGAGTTATTATATAAGCTCTTTTCTTTATAATGGTTTCATTTTAGGATAATTCAGTATTAGAACTTTATTGGGTTTTTTTGTTGGAGAGTATTCAATCAACAACTCTCCATGTTAAAATATAACTGCAAATGTGAGAAGTAAAAGATGAATGTGGTAGTCTGTTATTTTAAAGTTTGCTCTTCTGTAGTATGTTTTAACATTCCTTGTTATAAGTTTGTAATGGTTCATTCTAGGTACCCCATTTGGCTTCCCTAGTGGTTCAGTCCTGAGGTGTTTACCAGAGTTTCCCCCACCAAAATGTATGTCAATCTTTATGTCAATCCACCTGCATAACTCCCTTGTTCCCTTGTCATACCCCTGCCTGTCAAAGATAGCACACTCCTTTGGT